TGCGAATATGAACGAGTCAGGACTCAAATCCAGAGACACACCAAACGGTAAATGTAAATGTTAGCGATATTTCTAACACATCTTGTCTGTGATTAGTTGTTCCTGAATCAAAGGTCAGCCATTTTTGTTTAATCATTACCGGTTTTCAAATCTAGCGTGCATATATAATTATTCTGAGCGAAAATTTGACCTTTTTTGTGTCAGTTATCGTTTCCGCGTTTACAAAAAACATTTGTTTTTCCATGAAACCGTGTCGGGACAACAAAGAACGAAGTAAAGTATTTCTAAAGGTTTCTTCTCTTAGTTTGAAATTAGACTCTTTTCATAAGTTGGCAATTTCTTTGTTTTTCCATAACTGCTTTTGCAAAACAAATATCAGAGAAGTACGCTACTGAAATGCACCAACACTGCGTATAGATAAGCTTTTCTTTAAGCGTATTTTTTTATCGTTTATGGAAAATATGAACTTTAGAATATTTTTTGTTTTATCACATTGTGCAATAAACTATAAACATTGCCCTGCTGATCTGTTTACAATTCTTTAAAGTATGCAAGGACGTAATTAGCACAGACATTTCGGGCTTGTTTCAGTTTGATACTGAAGTTTAATAGAGAGTGAAATTGCCCGAAGGACTATCTATTTTTATGATAAATTAAAGTTTTAAAAACATATGTGAAAGAAATCTATTGACAAGACTGAAATCCAAACGTTATTCACATTTAACACACCTTTCTGATTGCTTTCCGGCTTTAAGATGGCTTTGCCCCTGGACCCTGTATCCGCGTTTGGCAATGATACTTGCCTCAGACGAAGCTTCAGGTTAACCATACAGTATGCCTACTTAGCCATACATATACATTTGTACACGGGTCTTAATTTTTTGCAAATAGAAATGCAAAACAAAGTCCGGGAAAGGGGTAGAACTGGAGTCGGATTCTTAATACTGGAAACTTGAAATCCTGGAATTACGCATGGACCTCCGGACAAAATTATATCAAAGAGACAAAAAGGGCCATTAGGTAATACAGTCAAATCGAGAGAGAGAGAGAGAGAGAGAGAGAGAGAGAGAGAGAGAGAGAGAGAGAGAGAGAGAGAGAGAGAGAGAGAGAGAGAGAGAGAGAGAGAGAGAGAGAGAGAGAGAGGGGGGGGGGGGGGGGGGGAGAGGGAGAGAGAGAGAGAGAGAGAGAGAGAGAGAGATGCACGACTCGTTTTCACGTTGATTAAGCGTACCATGTTTGGAAGAAATCGGTAACAGAGGAGATCTTAGGACGAGTTTAATATTATGAAAAAAACATGGGGCAGTAACTCTTCAAAATGCAGTTTAATTTAAACTAATGTGCAGGAAAATTCAATTTCAAGTCATGGTGATTGGACCTAAACCGAACAGGTTTGAATAAAGGTCGATTGAAAAGTGTTAAATTATGAAAACAAGGGGCAGTAACTCCTCCAATACAGCCAAATCAACTCACATTCAATGCACCGCAATTTCAGGTTATGTTGATTAACTCTCCCAAATTTGAAAAACGAGCCCAGTTTGTTACAACTCTTGTAACAGATTGGGATTATTTGACGGGATGTAGCGTGTCAGTTTGTTACAACTATCTTCTGTAACAAAATAGCACGCTTCATAGCGACGTTTTGGTACGCACCTTTCCTGCGTTGAACAGTTTCCCTGACAAAGTCGTCTTCAGCTTTACTTTCCAACTCGGCTAGATGGGCTCCCAGGTTGTTACAATATGTCTAACAAAGAAATGAAAACATTGCAACAGGGGGGGGGGGGGGGGGGGGGGGGGGGTTCATTCTGTCAAGAGGTTAAAAGTCATGTGTGTGATCTGTTGCTGACATAGGTCTCAAGTTTCTTTAATTTCAAATCCGAGATTGTATTTTCACTCGGTTGGCATTTTTCTTCATATTCATAGTAAAGGCCTGGTACCTTACAGGTCAACTACACGTATTTCTATCATCCTCTATACTCCTAGGGTTACCATCACGCTCTCTGCACTCCTGAAACACGTCATAGTGAAACTGAAGGAACAAACGAAGTAATTTTATTTGTTCCGGGTGAAAGATAAAACAACTGACCAATCACAGTCTGATACGCTCCTTTTGAAGATTACAAAAGAGCGACACCTAACTTCAAAGCCAGTGCAACATACCATTATGCGACCTCGAGATTCCTATGGTGTACATCAAAGGATCAAACTACTCTTTTCGACAAAGAGTCACACATGGAACCTTCAATTTTGCCATGTCATATTCCAGGGGTGCAGAGAGCGGAAGTGATATTTACCCCAAGTGTATCGAGGAAGAGATTTTTATATTCTTATATTAAGTTTAGGAATTAAACTTCAAATCAGCCAAATTATATCTTTTGAAGCGACATGACAATACAGCTCAGAACAATTAAGATGATATATACATACAGTACAACTGGAAAAAATACGTGAGTTAACAGAGACATATTAACTCGATACTCACCAGCGAATCATTCCACGTGCGTTTGATATCAGCGATGAAAAAGCACGAGGTTTCTATCCTGTCCCATTCATAAGGGCAACCGTCATCTTTCACTGTGATACACAGAATTTTAGAACAAGTTTTGAGGATACATGGTTTACGGTTGAACCGTGTTTACTTCACAGGAAACGAACGACACGATAATTACACGTAAAAAACGTAAAGTATAAATAGATTGCTTAAAATGCCATAGTTATTTTTAGATAGCTGATAAATGGAAATTGAATCTGTGAACTTGACAATGATGCATATTTTACGAATTCACGTATTAAGATAGGAAAAAGAAAATTGAAACAAGAAAAATATAAACACCACGACGACATATAAATTTATCCAATGTCGTGTTCACGGAATGGGAAAAGGGAAGTAATTGCATCTAGATTACAATGTACATTGAATAAAACATTACTAGTTGAGAAAATGCTGAAAAGGGAAGTTTAAGGTAGCAAATACGTAAATGTCACCGTGATGTGTATATAGTAAAGTTTGTGATTTAAACGTACGTGATTACTACTTACAAGGATTCCAAACCGATGATGAGTTCCGGGGTTGACATACGTGATTCGACCATCTATGATAACGTACACATTCAGAGGTGATCGCTACGTGAGAAATCCATGAACAACCATTTGTCATTAAACAGTGACTCCTACAGGCGGGGAGGCTGGTGACTATCGAGATGTTGAATGCGGAGTTGGATTCGAAGTCGGGCAGGTAGTTCCTAAGAGTTCTGATCTCCTCCCAGTAGCTCTCAATACAGTTAATGTATTGAAACATGCAGAACAGAAAAAAACCTGTGGAATAAGTTGAAATACATCACAATAAAGCGGAAATGATCTAAAGGTCAAAGATGTTTAATTGTCCCTTCCATTTTTCCTCAAAACAGGAATAAAAAAAACGAGGTGTTGTCAAGTAAGCGGTACAATGACCAGCCTTAAAGGAGAAGTGGAGATTGAACTTCCCAAAATCAGCCACTTTTTACAAATGAAAAAATGAAGGTCCATACTCCAACATTATCGGTTTCTCGGTATATTACGTACCTAAACATGCATAAAGATTGAAATTTCATTCTATTTGACTCCTGTAAACCTTTTTGTGGCATCATGGCCTCACTGGTCAGAAAGAGCTAACCAGTAAATGAACTGCCGTGCAATACAACACATGTAAGAAATAAGCAATGTTGAATTATTTTTCTAAAAGAAATTAAACTAAACATTATCAGAATATCTTTTTTCTTTTTGTAAACCACCACCACCACCACCACACACACACACACACACACACACACACACACACACCTTTCATAGAGAAAGCTGTGAAATTCTGAGGTCATGAAACTCACAATGCTGGTAAGCAATTTAAGATCCGTTAAGCCGTGAAGATTTGATTCTACACCTATCTGTCTAAAGAAGGCGATTCTCCGAATGTTAGTCAATTTGACCTATTTTGGAACCAATGATCAGGCTACTGGCAGTCAGTAATAGCCAATACGTACACACCACCAAACTAACATTGTAATATGAATACTTCACATTTAAATAATCTTAAATGCAAACAAAATAAACATTATGCTCATATACATTTTGCACATATATCTAAGTTGCCTATATACATTTATATGAATGATCTGCATGTATGGGGTCTACAAAACACATTCTAAAAAGGTGATAGCCAACGTAATCAACATCAGCATCATCACACCCCAACATCAGACACATACCAACACCAGCATCATCACACCCCAACATTAGACACAGACACATACCAACATCACAGCATCACACCAGCCAGCATCATCACACCCAATATTAGACCAACATCAGACACATACCAACATCACCAGCATCACACATACCACACAGACACATACCAACATTATACCAGCATCACACTCCACACTCATCAGACACATACCAACATCAGCATCATCACACCCCAACATTAGACACAAACCGACATCACCAGCATCACACATACCAACATCAGACACATACACATACAACATCACCAGCATCACACCCATCAACATCAGACACATACCAGCATCACACCCCAACATCATACCAACATCACACCCAACATATACAACATCAGCATCATCACACCCCAACACATACCAACATCATCAGACACATCACCATACCAACACCAGCATCATCAGCATCATCACATCCATCATCAGACACATACCAACATCAGACACATCCAACATCACCAGCATCACACCCCAACATCAGACACATACCACACAAATCACACCCCACATCACACATACCAGCATCACACATTACACCCCAACATCAGACACATACCAACACCAGCATCATCACACTCCATCATCAGACACATACCAACATCAGCATCATCACACCCCAACATTAGACACAAACCGACATCACCAGCATCACACCCCAACATCAGACACATACCAACATCACCAGCATCACACCCCAACATCAGACACATACACCAGCATCACACATCAGGCACATACCAGCACACCAACATTACACCCCAACATCAGACACATACCAACACCAGCATCATCACACTCCATCATCAGACACATACCAACATCAGCATCATCACACCCCAACATTAGACACAAACCGACATCACCAGCATCACACCCCAACATCAGACACATACCAACATCACCAGCATCACACCCCAACATCAGACACATACCAACATCACCAGCATCACACCCCAACATCAGGCACATACCAGCATCACCAACATTACACCCCAACATCAGACACATACCAACACCAGCATCATCACACTCCATCATCAGACACATACCAACATCAGCATCATCACACCCCAACATTAGACACAAACCGACATCACCAGCATCACACCCCAACATCAGACACATACCAACATCACCAGCATCACACCCCAACATCAGACACATACCAACATCACCAGCATCACACCCCAACATCAGGCACATACCAGCATCACCAACATTACACCCCAACATCAGACACATACCAACACCAGCATCATCACACTCCATCATCAGACACATACCAACATCAGCATCATCACACCCCAACATTAGACACAAACCGACATCACCAGCATCACACCCAAACATCAGACACATACCAACATCACCAGCATCACACCCCAACATCAGACACATACCAACATCACCAGCATCACACCCCAACATCAGGCACATACCAGCATCACCAACATTACACCCCAACATCAGACACATACCAACACCAGCATCATCACACTCCATCATCAGACACATACCAACATCAGCATCATCACACCCCAACATTAGACACAAACCGACATCACCAGCATCACACCCCAACATCAGACACATACCAACATCACCAGCATCACACCCCAACATCAGACACATACCAACATCACCAGCATCACACCCCAACATCAGGCACATACCAACATCACCAGCATCACACCCCAACATCAGACACATACCAACACCAGCATCATCACACTCCATCATCAGACACATACCAACATCAGCATCATCACACCCCAACATTAGACACAAACCGACATCACCAGCATCACACCCCAACATCAGACACATACCAACATCACCAGCATCACACCCCAACATCAGACACATACCAACATCAGCATCATCACACCCCAACATCAGGCACATACCAGCATCACCAACATTACACCCCAACATCAGACACATACCAACACCAGCATCATCACACTCCATCATCAGACACATACCAACATCAGCATCATCACACCCCAACATTAGACACAAACCGACATCACCAGCATCACACCCCAACATCAGACACATACCAACATCACCAGTCTTTAACTGTCAGTATAAAAAGGCAAATGTCAATCACAATATCTGAAGAAGTCAATTTTTGTCAACTACGGTTGTACATCCTGAAAACATTTCTTAAAATTTTGTGATTTGATAAATTCGAAATGAAAAAGAAAACAGAAAACCTTATGCGCTTTTTTTTTTACATATTCCTTGTGTGTGAACAATGAACGATTGGATTTTTATAAAAAATACATTTCTTTGTCGACCATAGTCATGACACATTCTTATAAATTTAGTTTATAGTACGTTAGTCATGTATATATGTATTTTGATAACTTACGGAGAGATCATAGCTGCAAAATTTACTCCGTTCAAATACACATTATTAAAGAGATAGTCAAAAATATCAGAAGGTACATTATAGCAATGGAATAGAAATATGCACGCTTAATTTACATGTTAGTTCAGTGTTAAACTAAGCAATAAATTCGAACAAAGCATCATGAAATTCAATATAACAGAGAATTTGATATCAGTTACTTTGTTGTATCGTCCAAATTATCACCAGTGAAAACTTACCTATACTCAGAGAAGGAAGATCCATCGTCAGTGCGTGGTCTTCTACACAACAGTAAAGGTATCAAAGATCTGATGTTCGAGATGACTGATAAAACATATCACGAACGGTCTTTAAATAACATCTCCGTGAAACGTTACATCATTTATATTTCATAAACTGTTGAAGAAAGTTAACGTGGTTTTATGCATCAGTCTGTATCTATGTAATCTCTACAGGCAATCATAGTACATAGCTACAAACATTTTAAAGACTTCGAAGAAAAAAAAACTATGCCAAAATCTAGCTTTGAACGATTCAATTCAATCAATACAGTATGCACTTACACACCTACGTGTTAACTTAACCATACAGAAATGAGGCTTTACCGACAGGTTATTAAAACCATGATAAAAAACATCATACCTGACATAACTTGTACATGATTGCTTCGATTTTCTATCGTCAATGATTGAATTGCAACCAGCACAATATCAATAAGCAATGTGATATAATGCTGCATGCAATTCTCTACTATGGTACATATAATGTATGTCCACGTGCTTGTTTTAATCTGGTGTTCGACAGATTGGTATGCAAAGTCAGGTGTACGTGTATAACTGGTATGCGTTTTTTTTTTCGTACGAGTTCACTAGTTTTCAAGAATTAATCGTCTCTCAATTTGTAACTTAAAAGTGATAAAGGCAAAAAATCATTCTAGACAATTCGATGACTAATTACAGAGCAGTATTATGTGTAGATGACTCGTCGTCCTTTACAAGTCGTTGTGCTTTTGGATTCTGCTTAATGGTCCTTATTATTATTAATGTTCCAGAAGAATACCAAATATGATATGCGTGTAGAATTTTCTGACCCAATGTTGACTTTTTGCGTTGCAAATCTTGGACAGCACCCCATTTTCGACGTCAACCATCTTTCATTAATGAGGTGTTTAGGATACTATGAGGAAGTTTCATAGCCATAGATCGTCTTTATTTCATATGGTTATGTCTGACATGAAGTTATATGAGATGTGTTTAATGTTCGTTAGTATCTAACAAGTTATTTAAAACAGCCTCTCATTTTATATCATTAGATATGGTTTAACCTTGGTTTGCACGGCGGATGTTGAAGACTCCGATCCTTCTAGCGTACCTGGTCATTGCCTCTCATGGTTTACCGGCGTTTCACCTATTTGCAATGTGACATATTTTTAACATCAAAATATCGACAATTGAGATAAGATTTTTGTTTATAAATTTACTTTAATTTGTATGAAGGAAATTTCAGAAAAGTATTGATGGATTATATGTATATTGTAATAGTATTCTGTTGATATGTTGACCAACGAAGATCTGTTGACCAACAAATATCTCTTGACCAACGAATTCCAGAGATTTTAAAATGGCCAGTTCAAGGGTCCATCAAAACCCCAAAAGAATATTCAGTTTAACAGGCGACTGTTCCATATTCGGGCTAGACGCAAACATTTAAAATGGCCAGTTCAAGGGTCCATCAAAACCCCAAAAGAATATTCAGTTTAACAGGCGACTGTTCCATATTCGGGCTAGACGCAAACATTCTTGGTATCATAAAGTAAGGATAAGGCTTCCATAAAAAGGTCATCTGATATGCTGAAATTACTTCCCTGTTGAAATTTCTCAAAAGAACCAGAGACAACAGGGGCTTAACTGTCATCTAAATTAAATGCTGTTATTCATTTTAAACAAGAGATCCCAGAGGGATCTTGGCGCTCACCATTTGATGATCTGTTTTCAGTTCTTGAAGATTTGTTTATTTTTTTTTTGTGTAACAGGTTTTGTAAATGATCATGAACTGGTCTTCATTGAATGTACACAATGATGGCACAATATATTTTTATTAAGCACCTATTAGCAAATATTATTTGACAAAGATCCCAAAGTATTATTAGATAGCAGTCAGTTACAGGTGGATAATGGACATGGTCTTGAATCAATATGATAAAATATCGAAGAAAATATGCTTGTGCTGTATTACTGTCGACATCCAAGATGGCTGCCTGTGGGCTAACTTGATTTCAAATCAGTCCAAAAAAAGTACAATGCACAACTAAGACCAAGGGAAACCAATACCTATGAAATATTAGAAGTATCCATCCAGTACTTCCTCAGAAATAGCGGTAACATGATTTTACTCTGAAAATCCAAGATGGCTGCCTGTCAGCCATCTTGACTTCAGATAAGTCCAAAAAGGGGAACCTCATATGAAATTTGAGAAAGATCCATCCAGTACTTTCCCAGAAATAGCGGTAACAAACTTTTACTTCCAAAATCCAAGATGGCTGCCTGTTAGCCATCTTGAATTTGAATCAGTCCAAAAAAGGTACAATGCACAACTAGGGACCAAGAGGAACCTGCATATGAAATTTGAGAAAGATCCATCCAGTACTTTCCCAGAAATAGCGGTAACAAACTTTTACTTCCAAAATCCAAGATGGCTGCCTGTCGGCCATCTTGAATTCAAATCAGTCAAAAAAAGGTACAATGCACAACTAGGGACCAAGGGGAAACTGCATATGAAATTTGAGAAAGATCCATCTAGTACTTTCTCAGAAATAGCGGTAACGGTTTACGGACGGACGGACCACGGACGCAGGGCGATTTGAATACCCCACCATCTGATGATGGTGGGCTAAAAAGTACAGAATTACATTACATTGTACGGGTAATGTTAATGTAAACTGTACATAACATTAAATGCTATCCCATGTTTTAAGAACTGTAACCCGTTTATATACAAAGAAATTATGCTCAAAAATCTAATTTCTCTACGTGTACATACACGATAGTGGACTTTCCTCTCCCCCCTGGGGAAATGTGAGACTCTGGGGTCATGAAATTCACAATTTTGGTAGAACACCTCAAAGACGCATAATATTGTATAATGTAGGTCTTTATATGTCCCTGAGCATCTTTAGACTCCTCCTTCAATGAAGAGCATTTGATTCTATCATGCCTTGGTCTTGAGAAGATTCTTTTTTTTAAAACTCAAGTCAATTTGACCCCGCCCCTCATGCCTCCTGGGGGTGAAGTACCATATCATTTACAATTTTAGTTCAACTTTGGAAATGGAAGGTTTTATTGCAAAATTTCATTGAAAATAGTGCAAAAAACTTCCAGCAGTCAAAATGTAAAAAAGTTTATGAAGCAAGACACCCGACAAGGAGCGATTGCAATAGGTCGAAATGATTGCTGTGTGTTACGATAACCAGGGGCTTGAGCAGTGTTTTCTGTAACTTTTTACAATATGACATCCAAATGTGTGACTTGTTTCTACCACAATAAAGAGCTATCATGATGATGAATTGATGTGTTTGTACCCAAATGTGTTCAACAACGATATCAGTTGTGGCATTATGATATGACCTGTAGTGAAATGCTGTTTATAAACATGTAAAACTGACATTTCATAAATACTTGGAAATACAATAATTCATTTCAAGTCCCACCACCTTGAATGTCTTCAAAGAAACAATCATGAACATCTTACTATGCTTTAATTTCCATAGGTGTGTGATTTGGTCTTTAAATCAAAATTTATGTTGTCATCATATCAAAACGAGTTTACAGTTTATTCCATGTGAGGTATAAATGTTTTATACAACGGTTGTAATGATTACTTGAAGTCTTGAGAGTTGAATAACACTTATTTATTGTGGTAGAAAAGGTGTTTATACTTCTATATAAAAAATCTAGAAAATAATTTTTAGAATTAGACAAACAAACAAAGAAAATCCAACACATTCAAGGATTCTATTTAATTCAAAATCCACCAAATTTTCAGTGTAACATTGGTTTTTCATATTCTGCATTAAATAAAATCATGTTATGTCCTCTTCACTTCAATGACACCAACATTGTCAACATGATAAAATAAACCGTGTGGATAAATGGATTTATGCTTTGAATCTTTGTTATCACATCCAAATACAAATAATAGATTCCAGTTCATTTCCCATTTTAGCATTGACATTAAACATAAAATTAATCTGTATTTAACCCTGATGAAACATTAAATTTTCCACTCCAATACATGATATAATTAAATACAAGTACATATTGATTATTCTTCCCACCAAATTTTGTATGGTTTTCCTGCATTAAATAAAGCATGTTAGGTATCGACATTGTGTACATAGGCAGGTTAGGGTACATCTTGTAAGAGATAGATTACTATGAATTATTCAAAAGTTTCCTTTAATTTCACAGTGGGTAATTCCTGTACATGAGAAAATCAATTAAATCGTAAAAGCTTACAAGTGTAAGATGGAACAATGTTGAAAGTAGATGTTATCATGCATTATATATATATATATATATATATATATATATATATATATATATACCATTCTTTACCATGTAACACTTGAACACACATGGCCTGTACAAATATGACATAATTAAGGACATAATATAGTTTATCATAATGTACAGTAGAGACAAACAGTACGATTTCATCGCTTATCAACACCAAATATGTCCGTAACATACATAAAACAATATACATTTGTCAATAAATAGAGCTGTGTCATACGATATTTGATAATTATTTTACAATCAATGACATCTGGTTTAACGCTTCATTAATAAAATAAACATAATTTTTCCCTGCAATTCAGTAGGTTACAGGAACAACCACCAACGCAGCACTATCAACAAGGGTGATATTTGAACTTTCACTGTTACTTTACTGTATACAGGGAAACATTTACCCAGGTTTTTCTCTCTCTTGTATAAAGATGTTCATATTCACCTACTTATGACCAGAGTTAAATTTGCCCTCAGACACTTTAAACCATATATTTCAGCATTGTAATCTAAACCTTTTGAACATCTTTTACCATTGCCCTATTTCCAAAAGGGTAGACGTTTCCCTGAATACAATATCTTCTTCTTAATTTTCAGAACAATACAATCTACATTTAATATCATACACGAGACTTGACAAACGTTTCCATCTCTGTCATCTCAGATGGGACATCATTTTGAGTAACACATCTGGTGTTACCAAAAATAATTTTAAAATTTGTGTCAGATGAAAAGTGGAAAAAATGTAATTATTTCATTTTATATACAAAATTTAACAATTGATTTTATCTGAAGAGGTAATATATACTGTATGTACAGTTAGAATAAAAAGAAACAAACATGTAGGTCTTCTCATGATTCTTTTCACAAAATCACATTTGAACCAAACGAAAACGTTCATCCAAATACTTCAGACTGTGATTGTAGTTCAAAGTGGACAAATTAATTTGAGGATTAAATATATGTATATATATATCAAATGATTCAAATGTACTTGCATTCTCCAGATGAACTGATAACAAAGAAAATTTAACAGGAAAATGTAAGCTTTTCTAATATTTTACTCTCTTCAATATAATTTTCATGAGTTCCACCTAATTTAGCAACATAAAGGAAACATTTCCTATAACAACAATACAACAAGGTATACACATTCACAAGACCGTAATATGAACTAATTTCCAAATGTTCAGATATAATTTATAATATATATCTAAAAAAAGGCATTGCAGAGTCAACAAATATTTACTGGTAATGGCAAGATCCAATAGTCATACATGTATAGACAGAATTACCAAGAAACCACAAAGCATAAAAGTCATCTTCAATTCCCACATCAACAATAGATTAATCCCCGACAATTCATTTTGTGTTTTTAACGTTACCCGTCTTGTGGTAGATATAAAGTAAATGTATAAGAAAATCTTCTGTAGGTAAATAGACTCGATAACAACAAAACAAAACATGTTCATCCAGTAAAATAAGCTATTTTGCTTTTACCACTGACTGAACAACATTCATCATATCCGGGAAGATTATCTCTTAAATTTTCCAACAAAATGTATTTGTCAACCCTCCTGTATTTCCTAGGAGTCTCCCCGACTTTCTTTTTTAGTTTTTGTCCATTATCTTCATGATTATTCTTTAAGTTCCTTATACCTCACATCTATCATAGAGCAAAATACAACCAATAAATTCTGAATCGTAAGCTGTGTGAAACTTAATGAATTTGTCGGACATTTCTGAAGTAAGTTTATTCATCTTTGATTTTGTGAGGGTATGGATTCAAATGCCCCATTGTGTGGGTTGGGTTTAATAGATCAAAGATCTGAGAGTAGGAGCAGGTCTGGAAGCATGTTAATTGAATATATAGAAATTTCAAAGAGGAAAGAAAACCTTGATCTACTCTCTCGTTCAATATACTCAATACTTTAATATGAATTCCAACATACAGTACATTCATATATGTTTTCCAAATAAACTCGTTAAATCCAGATTGCTAATGATCATTACAATGTATTTCAACTGCAAATGCATATGATTTTGTAAATCAATCTTTCCTCAACATGAACAAATCAGAGATCATTGTAAGCACACAACACAAAGCACTGTAAAATCTAACGTTATACAAAACAGTCCTCTTTACAGCTATTATTATCACTAACAGCCCCGTAACAACGTCCAACAATAAATGATACACCAGGTGTTACCGTTCATAAATGACATCAAGTCTTTAATCACATCATACTTATCCTGGCATTAGGGGCTCAAACACATAATCTCTGACTTAAAAGACAGGTGTGGGATTGTTACATGAATGATCAAGTGGCATTGGTTGTCATTTGTCTTGAACTGCGCTATATATGGTTGAACTAATTGCCAGGCATATCAACAGGGGCACAATACTGTACAGGTTTTTTCTAACAAAAGCCAGGGCCAACAAGAATCTTAACAATCAGTTCTACCTATCAAAGTAAAAAATAACCATAACTAACTACTCCAAAAGTCAACAGTTGAGCTATAATGTGCCTTTAATATCACGGTGGTATCAACATTCAACAGCAATGATCTTCGGCCTCGCTCAGTACTACAAGTCTGTAACAACTGTAGTATTAATATGATAAATACCTAACGAACAATTCTGTAACCCTGTTATTGAGCTTGTTCAGTTTTGTTCCTTGTTGCTCTTACTGCTGAACCAGGAGGACATGGCTGACCGAGCTTGAGTTAGGGCTCCTCCTACAACAATGTAACCATACGTATCTACATGAAGGTCAAATGAACAAATGTGAAATAAAAGTGATTATACATAGAGGATATTTAATACTTTTCAAATGGAATATCACCTATATTATCTATCTATAATATTTTTTGAGAATGGTACAATATCAACATTTTCTACAAGTGGGAATATATGAGTGATTAGAGGTGTCTTGGCAGCCACCATTTATTTGTTTATTTGTTTTATGCAAGTTGAATCTTTTCTCTTCTTTCCTCTGATTGGTTCCTTTATCTGCATTTCAGTATTCTCCAATGTGGTCCAAAAATTAATTAGGTATTGCTGTCATAATGAAACTAACCTCTTAATCAGCTGATAGTCTAAGTAGTAGCATTTTAGAATGATCAGTGCTGTTGTTGAGAGAAACTTAGAGTTAATTGTGTTGAAAACAATTTTAAATGTATAGTGGCAATGACCTCAACCTTAACTGACATTTGAAGATGTAAATTAATCCAAAAAGCACAGTCACGTAAGAAAGTAGTGTATGATGTTTGAGTTTCATAAGCCCAATAAAACTATCATTTTTGAGCAGAAACAGATTTGCTGTTTATTGTAATAAAAACATATATCTTTGATCAAGTATTCACATCAAAAAGCAATCCCAAAGCAAGCCATGCTGGTAAGGAATGATTATGCGAAAATTAAATTTATACCATCCACATCAATTTCAGTTATTTAGCGAAAACCAATATTCATAGTTGCAGTGAACTTTACCTTCAAACTTTTTATGACCCAAAAAGTGTAACTTCTAAAAATATATTGATAACAAACTTTAACAGCCAATACCTAAAATTGCCTACTATTGGCCAATTTGTTTTCCTGATAAGTCCCAAAACAGACAATGCACAACCATAGTGTGACCTTAAGGAACACAAATGTCAAATTTTAGAATGACCCATTCAGTACTTTCAAAGAAACAGAAAGATGGCAGGCTTCTGGCCATATTATTCTCCAATTACCGGTAGTACAAAATAAAAAATTCACAACCAAGGACCTGAAGAGGACTTAAATATGAAATTTGAGAATGACCTAAGTAGTACTTGTCAGGAAATAAAAATAATCAAAATATCATAATCAAAGTCCAAGATGCTCAATTGTCAGCCATTCTATATTTTTTTTCTCACCAAGTCATATTTCATTGATAATTAACAAAGTGGGACTGACCTACAACTTTTCCTGTTTGAAGAACGTATTTGCCAGTTTGAGATACTGCAGCATTAATCTTCTTGCCTCTCTCTGTACTCTGCATTGTACTGTTGACAGAAAATATACAGACTCAGTGTAAGTAATGGGATGCATCAAGAGTGTTCAACAGAAAAGGAAGGTTTGCTTGAATCATAAAAAGAATACTGGGTAATAATTTGTTATGGAAATACAATTTTATTCAAAAATGCTTAATTTGATTTTCTCTCAAAGTCAATGTCTGATTTAAGTTAAAGAGCCAGATCCACTCCGTTATAGATATTTTTTCATATTTTATTGACTGGAAATATTGTTGTATACTTATAGATAATATATAAATAAAGACTTGTATAAAGTTTCGAACTTGAAATTGAAAGGGTACCGGAGATATCGGTGCCGGAATAAGTCTCATTAATCAACACCAGGATATGAATACTGATGAGGAAAAGTCATGTGATACGTTCAGATGCGGTCAGAACCAAAACAAAAATGGAGGAAGAGGTGAGTAGTATGTCCATGTGACAACGCTTGTAAAGAAATTTTACTGATAAATGCAATCAATACTCTATATATCCTGTATGGAAATCATCTAACATATGTAGTGATCACATCTTTCAATGCTTAGATATGACACAAAAACATGCAGATTACGAGAAAAACTATGATTAATTGCAAAGAGGTCCTTAAATTGGGGCTACGATACGGTAACAAACATATAGAACATCGCGAAATGGATCTATCTAAAGCGAATATTCGATGATAAGAGTATTTATGAATATGATTTTAGATTGATACTACATGAGAGAGCCAAACAGAGAGCGATACAGAGTATGAACCAGTCATCTTCCTTCTTTTCACCTCAGAGTCTGTCAAAACACGTTTTCTTCCCCGCTTCCCTCACACGCTTTCTGCCATGTTGGAAGATGGCAGATTTATTTACAGTTCTTTGCGCATGTGTCAGAGGGCAGGACTTCCCGCATAATTATGAATAAGCACGGAGTGGTTTTGAATTCTTTTTTAAAACTATTTATTACATTAGATTGGTTGCGATTTACTTTAAAATTGCGGTATTACAGAGTTAGTCAGAACTTTTGCTACCCAAGAAAAATAGAAAATCATGAATTTTATTTGGTATAAAATAATATTGGTCGAGGAGTGGGTCTGGTTCTTTAATAACCAGCCTACAAAAAACAACGCTTTTGCCAATCTTTATTTAAACATTTCTGAGGAAAGTTTAATGCAAGTTTTACTCTGCATGCAACATTACTGAAAAACACAAATCTTACAAAAAACATTTAGTGTAATATTACTTACTGTGACAGTCTCATTCTGATGTCAGACACTCCAAGATTACCATGGTATGGATGTCTGTAACGATTAAATCAACATCAGAATATGCATTTCTCTGCCATGAAGGGTTACAGACAGCCGGTAATCGAACTTAATCTGTACCCTTCCAACAAGAAGCAGTTTACTAAATTTCATTTTGATAACTCAAAGCATAACCGAAAAAGTTCGGAAAACTTTCGTACGGACGCCGCTGCGTGGCGACAGACAAAGTGATCCCTAAGTGTCCGCCAGCTCTGCAGGCGACATAAAAATACATTAATCTGACAAACTTGCCACTGCCAAATTTCAGTTAATTCATAAAATCCTTGATGCTATCACCTTTGTTTTACAGATATATTTTTGAAGGGTACTACACTGTAAATTTCAATCTAAAATATTTGCTGTAATTGAAGCAGGAAACAAAAGGGCGAAACATACAAACTTTTTCTAATAATCAGTACTCACCCTAGGGCAATATCCTTCATACCCTCATGTTCTGTGCTGGTCCACACACGGTAGCTATGTGTAGTTTTGAATGCTTGGACAAAGGGCATACCGAAATCTTCTTGATGTTTTACATCTAAAAAGGTAAAATATCTATATCTAAATAAACCTATGAAATGCTTTTATCAGAGTTATCTTAGTGAATGAAATGTTAAAAGTTACACAAATGTATGGAAGTAATATAGAGCTAATAAATAAACAATGAAATTGAGGGATCCTATACTGCAATAAAATCAAAAAATAGTACGAAGATAAAATTACTAAAAAAGTATAAAAAAAGTATACTTTGGTATACATCCTTTTGGTATGGGATACAATATACCCTTTTGCTACTTGTCACTGTGTTCATTTTATGAGACTGAAAATTTTTTCTAAACAAGCATCATGCCGTGAGTAAACTTGAACCAGAATGGAACAAAAACTGGGCCGAAATGAAAAGATGTCCAATTACACTTGTATGTGAAACCTTTTTTGATGTTTAAAACCAAATCACACTCAGACTGAATGTATTAACATACCATCTTGGTGACAGCTGACAAGGAGAGATTGGAGATAGATCCTGAACTGAGCTCTCAACCACTCGTCTCCACCTTCCCATTCTGTCACATAAATCATCAACATTATATACTGTTTACAAGATAACTGGATTTAGGTATATTAAAATCCAGAATATAAACAAAGATTTTTCTTTTCTACCAGAACAGGTCTTGACATCCTACTATCAAGCTGTTATTTTCCCAGATAAACTTTCCCTCTAAAGCCACTTTCAGATGACTTGGTTGAAATCATCCAAGTGGTCTGCAATAATTTTGCTACACATGAACACACATGTACCGAATGTTAGGTTCGTCATGAAAAGATCAAAATGCATAGTTTTAGAATTTCCTGTTAGGCATAACAAGACAATATGAATATAACTAACCATTCATTTAACTCATATCTAACAGTATAATGCTTTTGAAAATATGTGCGTTCACCAATCCTGCTATAAGCTAAAATTCTGAAAATTAATGATATTCAGGAGGCTAGTTTTGGATAGGTACAGCTAGGCCCCTCAATCTACACATGCCGCAATCCAGCCTCATTCCTGCTCAGAACCTAGCATTTTTCTTGGTGGTTTAACCAGTCAAGTCATTTCAACTGTTTATGCAAAAGTGACCTTACTTCCAAATAAACCAGCATTTTTTTTCAAACTAGTAACCAACAAAATCTTTCATATTCATACCACAAATGTTTGCCTCTTGGTCTTTGGAACAGATTATCTTCCAAATCTAAATCATAGTTATACACGTATGGTGAGAATAAAACTGGACTAAAATAATAAAAGCCAAGACATTTTACTGATATTTCATGCTAATTCTATTCTGTGTTATCAATTTCAAATTAATTGAAAAAACACATGATTGTGCAGCCCTTATATATAGCTGGAAACATATATCATAACACCAAGCACTGACATAAACATTCCTGACATACCTGTACCATCAAAATTTGCAGCATCTGGATCTTCTTCAACAACTGCCTTAACAATAATTTCTGCAAACCGCAGATCAGCCGTAGTAAGACTCAAGACTTTCTGCAGCTCTTTGTCATGGATATCCACCCGACTCTCCATAGTCTTATAAAAAAAAATAGATGTACTTCCGGAATAACAAAGAAGAGGCCCTAGAAAGTGGTCCCAACCTGGTTGGCTTAACAATTCAATGATTCAATTCATCACAAAAAAATACTCAAAACAAGATTTTTTTTAACAATTCATTGTTAAATTCTTTACTGTGTCTTATGCCTTATCTGCCCATACGAGGTGTGTGAGCTGGACAACAAGATCCATGGGCTAATAGAATGAATAAAAGTTCTTGTAACTCAACCTTTAAAGCTGTTATGAATCAACATGTAGAATATTTAAGGGTGAAATCATACTTGCACTGACGAATGTAGTGTATGAGATGGTAATAATATATACGGAACCCACTAACTTTTTTTTTAGCTGTACTATAATCCTATGTACATTTAGGTCTAAAATGGTGTGACGAGATGATTTAAAGATTATAGATAAAAAAATACACAAGATGGTAACAATGTACTGAAGTCAATTGGGCTACGCATAATATTCACTGGCTATGCTGTAATGTCTATATCTTTATTGCGTGGTAACTTAATATCATTGGTGAAAACTGTCTTATGACTCTAGAATGTATATTGATCATTAGAAAAGCTATTTAGATTTTTAAAAAATTGTCTGTTGATAAAACATCATATATTTGTAGTGAATACCAATCAAGGATTTTGTTGGTAATACAAAACAAAACCCCCAAAAAACTTTGATTTGTTTTGTGACTAGATTAGCTAGGCTAGATAGATGTTGATTTTAGTTACTTACATCAATAACAACATCTGTCAAGTGTCTCTTCTGCTTGAATAACATGTTGGTGGCCCCAATGACAAAGGCTCGAATGTTGACATCCTGCATCAGGTCATAATATTGTAGAGACAGGTATGGGTGGCACACATTTCCCTGAAATATCAGATAAACTAGACATAAGAGGAGAATATACACAGTAAACAAGGGCTAATAACATCTGTGGGACTGGAGAAGAAGCTGCGTGTTTTTCAAGATGGCTGCCATATTGGATATCACTGGCGGATCACTGAAAAGCATAACGATGAACAAAACACATTTATGATGACTAAGGTCCTTCAAAGTCAGATGACCTTAATACAAAGTATTAACCCAACCTTTAATCTGTACCTGTAAGACATAAAACAGAATATGCTTTACTGAATTAAATGCTAATTAATCTATCTTTTAAGATAAAAAAATATATCAAAACTTTCTTATACATCGATAGATTTTGAAACTTGCTTTCACACTGATAATTCTAACTTCACTGACTCTGGTAACGATTCCTATCTCCCATTTCCTTAAGCCAAATAATTTTACCTTTCAGTCTTAATTGTTTGGCCAAAGTCTGATAGAAAATACTGTCATAGATTTTTTTTCCATTTTCAGGAGAAAACTGAAGTTAAGATTTTGATCTGGGCTATGTTCAAGAAAAAAAAACGTATCCAAGGACTCCAGGTTTTGTTAATGAGTAACAAACACAGAATTTAATTCCTAATTTGCTTAGAAGTTACGGGTGCCGAAACCATTGACAACTATATCTTTTACTGGAATTAACCTTACAGGCCATTTTACCTTAGAGAATATGACAAGTGGGAAGCCACAATCATCTTGCTGTAGTCTTGAAGCAAGATAAGAGTTGGACATTTCGACCATTTGTACATCACCAGGGCTGTTGTTGCTACTTTGACCACTGCTACCTCCACGTTTTAAGCGCGATGTCTTCTCTCGCACTGTACCAAATGCTGAGCTGAGTTTGTTTCGTAGGGCAGCTGCTTTACTCCCAGGACTAGACAATTTTCCATCGCTGTCTTGAAGACTGATTTCATCCAGTGATTTATCTCCATCAGACTTTTTACTGCTGGTTTCAGAGACAAGATCCACTTCCATTAAATCACTACTAGCTACAACGGCCTTGCCATCCTCACTAACTTTGCTGTGTTGTCGAGTTAAATCTTTTTTCCCAGACTCTAAATTTACTTCATCAGCTTCCATTGCATTATCAGAGTTTTCTTCACTACTTTCCTTGTTACTGGACACTAATTCATGTTCAATGGATAAGAACAGTCTATCTTCTTCCCAAGAAAAACAATCTTCTTTATCGATCTTCTGAATACTTTCAGGAGAATCAAGATCTTCAACACTATCACTTAGTTTGTGTTGCTGCAAACCTTCCCTGTCAGCTTCTAAATTTACAGACAGCTCGGGGTTTGATGACTTTTTTGCAGTAGATTCGGAGTCCATTTTCTCCAGCATTTCTGAGTACTCCTCCATGTCTATGACAGAATCACTATTCTGGATTGTGCGGCCTGTTTGGACAGCCTCTATATGTGTAATAAAGTTAACATTAGCTAATGGGTTGCTGTTCTCTGACATAACAACTTGTCCAGGGGAGGTCACCGGACTTGGAGATGAGGAATGGAAAGAGCTTCCTCGAGACCTATTGCTGGGCACTTTAATCTCCCTCGACTTTGTAGCCAATATAAAACTAGTCTCATCCTTCCTAATATCAGTATCACAACTGCCATCTAGATTGGACACATCACTGTTCTGGTCCTTAGTGGTTTGGTCTTCCGATTTCTGTTTTTCATCAGAATCGCATTCTACAGCTGATTTCTCTGTCTTATTTGGTATCAAAGGAAGTTCACTATCTTTATCACACTTTACATTTGAAACATTTACAGAATCTTTTTCCATTATTGCACTTTTATCTCCACCACTTAAAACACTATTACTGTTTATGTTGTCTTTGTCTTCAGAGGCACTGGAATGTAATTTTGTGGAATCTGAAGTATAAGATTTGTCTGTAAGTGGATTACTTGTCCTGGAATCTTCATCATATCCCCTTGGTATTGTCGGAGAATTGGGTTCTTCAACATTGAGCTTAGATACTTGTGTGTCTATGGTTAGCTGTATTTCAGGGTCGAGGGAGACTTTAGGGGAGCTTTGTCGTGAACTATCGCTGTGATAGTGAATTTCTAAAAACTCCTCCTCATCACTACCAATTTGTGTTGGCCTCATTGTTGGCGAAAACTTCTTACTGCTACTACTAGATGTAGCTTCTTCTAATCCAAACTCTATCATACCTGTAATAGGAGTATCATGTAAAGGATTACTGTTTGTACTTTGTGCATAAACATAACATAAAAACATACTTTTTCATAGCTAGCTGACATGATAAATGATATTTGCTCTTTAATTTCAATATTGAATATAAATTAAAAATGTCATGAATCTCCTAATGCAAGTTTAACTTTAATCTCTTATAATCAGTTAAAACCTAATTTTGATTTACACTACAGATATACTTACCAGGAAACAAGGAGAGAATTGAAAGCAATGTATTACACAATTTCTCTACAGGCGGGCCACTGAACAGAACCTGAAAGGGCAATAAAGATGTCATATAAGTACAGTGTTTCTTCCACAGATTTGACTTAAAACATAACTTTAAGAAAACTAAATGCATCAGCTAAAAATAAAGCTTTTTAATAAAAAGGCCAGAAACAAAAAATGCAAATAAATGCTCTTTCAAGGTCTTCAGAAAAACCAACAGTAAAAGTGTATGTGTGGGCAAATTCAATATTCTACATCTAAACTTTTATACATTTTTTTTAGTCTTAATATTCAAAATAGATCATTTTTGGAAAACCAATGGAAAATAAAACTTATTTATAATCTAGATTTCTGAAATGAGATTTAGAAACTTTTCGAAACATCTGAAAAATAATAACATTTCAAAATAAGTAATCATCTATTTTCTGATGGTGGACTACAGTGATAAATGTTTCTTGATCATCAACTTCACCAAAGCTTGAACTTCTTCACAAAATTCTAGTTTCACAAATTTCTAGTACATATGCATGTACAGAATAAATATACTTACCCTGCGTTCCAGCAGTATCAGTTTGAATAACAAGACAATTTTGTGTCTGAATTGACATACAACGTCCCTCACAGACATACCTATAAGATAAAAATATATATGATCTATTACAGATATACATATGATGTACATATAAGATAAAGTAAATCTAACAAACACCTCTGTACACTGTACATAACAATATCAAAGTTCCAGCAAAGTATCTAGCAATATAACACGTCCTTTCAACAGCCAAAGTCATCAGTAAATATTGTTCAAAGATCATAAGGCCACTAACAGACCATCTGTCATTACACTGGTATAAAACATCTGTGCACAGTGTCCTGTCAACATCACATCAGATAACCATTATTACTACAGGCTTTAAAATCCTTGTGCAACCTTTTTACTGTTGTGAGTGAATCAATTGCTATAATATTTAGTTGTTTTACAGGATAAAACAATCAGATACATGTCACATGAACATTCTATTAAATTTTATGTACAATGATTAAAAATTATAAGTTCTGACATCTAATATCTTTAATTTGATAAACACCTACCCATGAACACTCTAGACCCATCTCTTACACCTTCAGTGACTGACATCGTGAGGTTCCGGTAAGTCTCTTCCAATAATCCCACCTTAGTGAAGTCTCTCTCCTCAAAGTAGGCATGCGTAATTAACTCCAACTTGGCTTTCACTAACCCAAATAGAGGCTGAAGGAGAAAAAGATACCAAGTATAACAATGTGTCATAATCTATTTGAAGCAAATTAACAAAGACAATGAAACATCACTCAGAGGTGTAAACAGACACCATCTGGTCTATTGAGAGGATAGCAGTAGGCTGATGACCAAACAGATCAGTATTAAAGTATTTAATTTCATATCTCAAATCTTGTTTTCTATGAAATATACAAAAGGGGAAGCAGTAGGTGTACATTCAATTTCCCTATTTGCTGGGTAATCAATTGACCTAGGCTTACATGGTGGTGCCATCAATGAAGCAAATGTTTAAAACGTCTAACCTCACTTTCTCTTTCACCAGTTCTGATTTTTTTATGGTCACTGTATTAATTAGTTGTCTTAATTGTCTCTTTTGCAGATCACATGAATTTTGTAGTTGTATGGAAACACTTCATTTACTGCTGCTCATACATCAGGTAATTAATCGTATCAGACAACATATACTTACCAATCTACTGAGAACACACACACTTTTCTGTACTGTGCTTCTGGTCACATCAGCTGTTTTATTCACCAAGTCCTGGAGTGGTTATCCAAAGTAAAACAACATAGATGAAAGGAGTTAATGTCAAGCAGTCACTCAAATCATTAATTCATTCAACTGATTATTGTGATTTTTTAACACATTGGAAAAGGATCTTTAAAGATAGTAAGAGCAATTCATTTAGATAGGGCATTCACATATACATGGGATTAAATTACGCACAAGCATGCCACATGTACAGGCCAAAATATCATGATTTTTTTTAGATTTTTTTTATAAAACAATTAAACTTGTGTATATTCACATCAATATGCTAATACCAATGAAATATTTGACAGATTTCATCTGTTATGCAGAACATGCAAATTCTGTCTATATGTCTCGTCATTTCAACCAAAAAATTGTGTTGCTTAATTCATTTCTAAATGCACTTACAGAGGCGTCCATCTGTCTGTAACATGCAACTCCATACACAGTGGTACAGTTCCCATCCCGTGATGGCAGGTGGAAAAATATTGTGTCTTCAAAAGAGTTTTAACGATATAATGTACTCATTGGCATAAATGTTCAACTTTCAAGTCAAATTACCAGCTAAGCGTCCTACACACAATGTCATTTTATTCCAATAACTGTGGTTTATTTTGAGAAAAAATAACAGTGCAAGCTATATTTTGGTTGTATATTATCCACACGTATGCATAAGATAATCTTTACACTTTCATGTTATGAAATAATGCCCAAAAAACAATGTCAATGTAAGCTTATTCATTGATTATCTTTTTTGTTTTTTCATTCTCAAATATAAGCTAGAATCAATCCATTGATATATTGAGCACAAGAAAAACACCAAGAAATGACATGAAAGGCTTTGAATAAAACAAATTATCGCACACTCTTATTTAAGATGAAATATTTCCACACATGTTGTATTCTAAAAATTCCTTAAAGCCTGATTTTAAGTGCCTTGATAGAGACAAGTCAAACTGTCAAATTGCTTCCTGATGTATCAACAGATGGATATTTTAACTTGAATTTTACAATTTAAGAGGTATAAGTTTATTCCGTTTTAATTGATGAGTAGTGTACAGTATATGTGCTTGATATAGTTTGTGACAGATCTAATTTCAATATATTTTTTATTGAAAATAGTATAAAAATGAATACTCATATTTTTTCAACGAATAAAAACATCAGAAAAAGTGCATTATATACATGCATAGTTGCCCATGTATTATTTGATATGTACATTTGTACACGAGCAAAATCTTTTCCACATGAAGTATAGCATAGTTCAGACCACAACAATCACAAAATATAAGCATTCATAATGAAACAACTATGAAGAGAATTGCTAAAACATAACTAATACATGTACTTTGACACGATAATGACAACATTTAACACGCAACTAAAATAAACTGAATTACAATTTCTATAGTTATGATTCGAAAATCATGATCTGGACCGACAGTGGGTATCTTTCTTTTACAGAATATTATTTAGGCTGCTACAAGTATCATGTACATTTTGATAGTCCCCTGTTACCTAATTTTCATCATTGCAGTTTAATTCCCTTACAACTGGTTTTTAAGGTGAACTTGCTTGTACCTTGTATGTAGTTGTGGGCACCATCAGGAATAGCCAGGGATGGTAGATGTTTCCAGACTTCTGGTACCTCGTGACTATCAACCTCATTTCCTGCTATCAATGGTGGGTAGGAAAACTCTACCTGTATTTTTAACAGCAAATACAATATATACATAAATTTAAGTAAAATTTACATAGTATCACATATAACATCTGTATTACCTTATATATCAGCAGTGTATGTTTTACAGCCAAAAAAGGCTGTTTCCTTTTGCCATCTGTTTTCAGAAAATCCCACTTAAATTTTTCCCAATTTACATATATTTACAGCCTGCTGTTAAGACAATATGGAAAAAACATGGTGTCTTTTAGAAACTGCATTGCATATATTATCAAAAGGGTAAAAAAAATTAAGACAATATACAGTAGAAGTTTATCACAAGATTGTTGTGTAATTTACTGAATATCTAATACAATTTAACACGATAATTTGTGAACACAGCCACAGGCATACAATGCCTCTGTGTAACTATCAAGATTTTACATAAAAAGTTATAAGTTGCCAATGTAATGTCATCTCTATATCTCAGTTCTAGATTTTGCCAGTGGTTGTCCAAAGTGATTTCAAATTCTCTCATGTTATTTGCCCAAACAACTTTATCATGGAGACTGTTTCATTGACGGTTCTGAGCCCAAATGAGTCTACATGTATATGTAGTTTTATATTTCTTTTTCGTGATTGGATTACAAATGAAATAATGTGGCTGAGATGACATGGAAAAGTATATTGGAACATTTACTTCCGATTAGTAATGTCAATAGGAAAGAAGTTCTTATAACACAACAAGCATGGTGTTCTGATGACTACCTTGTCATCCTAATCAGACAACTGACCAGTGTGAAGCATACTAACACTGACAGATGTAGTATCTAAGATGGCAAGGTATCAAACATTTTTTTTCTTCTGTACTGTAATCCCACATACTATTTTTAAACTTAGGGGTCATAAAGGGCTCCATCCTTCGTGTATATTTTCACTTACTTGACAAGTGCTCTAATGCTAGTAATGGTCTTACCCTAAGAAAACAACTTACGGGATACTTTGAATTATCCACATGTGTTTGCACATGTGACTGATATTTCAGATTTTGAGCATGAATTCCAAAACCACTATGCTTACATCATCATAATATGTAATATTAAGTAGTTTGTGAACTCCTGGTATTTATAATGATAGTCATTTTCTCAACAGTCCTAAGAACAAAACAAGGACTTGTTGGCAATTGGTGTTTACACCGTTACACAGTCACGGGTATAATTTTCACCAACGCTATCAGGCATATGACAACTGCACAACGTTTGTGACGTATCTACGGTAAACAACGACAAACTTATGACTGAAATGACCATACAGTCGTAACGAAGCTCGTTCAATCAATTAGCCAGTTTGTAGGCAGAGGGAGTTTCCAACCTAAACAGCTAAAGGCCATGGACGCCCTTATTCGATCTTTTTACCTGACAACCCTTCTTGTGGTGAAATCCTATGACCACCACGTGTAGTACAGGTGAGTCCCTTGTTACATCTACACCTGCCATCTTCTTACATCGTTCTTGCTCTCACTCTGCCGTGTTTAGTTTGTAAACGAAATGTCATCATCGTCTGCCACAGAACCCATGGGCTAACTTCCGGGCAACACTACCTTTGTGACCCACCGATAGTATCCCTGAACTTATGAATAAGATCAGAGGTGCTCCGAAAATCAACATGCTGGATTACGTACGGTATCCGTAAGGTGATTGGTTAGATGAAACAAAATGTAACGAATCGCTGAAGAGCTTTTTAAATTGATTCTTAAAGATGCATGCGTATGTTTCTCTCCATACTAGACAGACCTGAGCACCACACAGACGTGATATTATATATGAAATACTGACATAGATAATAATCACCAACTGATACAGAAAACAACTGCAATACACGACGTTATTAGAAAACACAATATTGTAATACTGTAAATGGAAACGTACTTTTGATTTAATGGGAAAATGGCTATAGCAAATGGTGTGATCAAATAGGTAACAGTACTCTTGCCCACTGGACTTATATAACAGTTTTTTAAAATGTTGTAGTAGGATATGGTAAGAAAGGTCTGGACTGTATCGTCAGTTAAAATATGGTAAAAAGGTATGGGTTGTATGTATGGTAATGTAGAATGGGGTAAGTGGGGTCTGGGCTGTATGGCAAGGCGGAATGGTGTAAGCCTGGTCTGGGCCTGTATGATGAGGCGGAATGGTGTGAGTGGGGTCTGGGCTGTATGGTAAGGTAGAATGGTGTGAGTGGGGTCTGGGTTGTATGGTAAGATGGAATGGTGTGAGTGGGGTCTGGGCTGTATGGTAAGGTGGAATGGTGTAAGTGGGGTCTGGGTTGTATGGTAAGGCGGAATGGTGTAAGTGGGGTCTGGGCCTGTATGGTAAGGTGGAATGGTGTAAGTGGGGTCTGGGCCTGTATGGTAAGGTGGAATGGTGTAAGTGGGGTCTGGGCTGTATGGTAAGGTAGAATGGTGTGAGTGGGGTCTGGGCTGTATGGTAAGGTAGAATGGTGTAAGTGGGGTCTGGGTTGTATGGTAAGACGGAATGGTGTAAGTGGGGTCTGGGCTGTATGGTAAGACAGAATGGTGTAAGTGGGGTCTGGGTTGTATGGTAAGACAGAATGGTGTAAGTGGGGTCTGGGTTGTATGGTAAGACGGAATGGTGTAAGTGGGGTCTGGGCCTGTATGGTAAGGCGGAATGGTGTAAGTGGGGTCTGGGTTGTATGGTAAGGCGGAATGGTGTAAGTGGGGTCTGGTCTGTATGGTAAGACAGAATGGTGTAAGTGGGGTCTGGGTTGTATGGTAAGGCGGAATGGTGTAAGTGAGGTCTGGGCCTGTATTGTAAGGCGGAATGGTGTAAGTGGGGTCTGGGCTGTATGGTAAGATGGAATGGTGTAAGTGGGGTCTGGGTTGTATGGTAAGGCGGAATGGTGTAAGTGGGGTCTGGGCCTGTATGGTAAGGCGGAATGGTGTAAGTGGGGTCTGGGCTGTATGGTAAGATGGAATGGTGTAAGTGGGGTCTGGGTTGTATGGTAAGGCGGAATGGTGTAAGTGGGGTCTGGGTTGTATGGTAAGGCGGAATTGTGTAAGTGGGGTCTGGGCCTGTATGGTAAAGTGGCATGGTGTAAGTGGGGTCTGGGCTGTATGGTAAGGTAGAATGGTGTGAGTGGGGTCTGGGTTGTATGTTAAGATGGAATGGTGTAAGTGGGGTCTGGGCTGTATGGTAAGGCGGAATGGTGTAAGTGGGGTCTGGGCTGTATGGTAAGGTAGAATGGGGTGAGTGGGGTCTGGGTTGTATGGTAAGATGGAATGGTGTGAGTGGGGTCTGGGCTGTATGGTAAGGTGGAATGGTGTAAGTGGGGTCTGGGTTGTATGTGTTATAGGCGGATTGTGGTAAGGTGGGGATATGAGGGTTGAATGTGTTATAAGATAGATTGTGGTAAAGTCGAGGGATACGGAGGTAGAATGTGTTATAAGACAGATTGTGGTAAGGTCGAGGGATATGTAGGTAGAATGTGTGATAAGATGGATTGTGGTAAGGTCAAGGGATACGAAGGTAGAATGTGTTATAAGGTAGATTGTGGTAAGGTCAAGGGATACGAAGGTAGAATGTGTTATAAGATAGATTGTGGTAAGGTCGAGGGATATGAAGGTAGAATGTGTTATATTATAGATTGTGGTAAGGTCGAGGAATATGAGGGTAGAATGTGTTATAAGATAGATTGTGGTAAGGTCGAGGGATATGAGGGTAGAATGTGTTATAAGTTAGATTGTGGTAAGGTCGAGGAATATGAGGGTAGAATGTGTTATAAGATAGATTGTGGTAAGGTCGAGGGATATGAGGGTAGAATATGTTATAAGATAGATTGTGGTAAGGTCGAGGGATATGAGGGTAGAATGTGTTATAAGATAGATTGTGGTAAGGTCGAGGGATATGAGGGTAGAATGTGTTATAAGATAGATTGTGGTAAGGTCGAGGGATATGAGGGTAGAATGTGTTATAAGATAGATTGTGGTAAGGTCGAGGGATATGAAGGTAGAATGTGTTATAAGATAGATTGTGGTAAGGTCGAGGGATATGAGGGTTGAATGTGTTATAAGATAGATTGTGGTAAGGTCGAGGGATATGAGGGTAGAATGTGTTATAAGATAGATTGTGGTAAGGTCAAGGGGTATATGAGGGTAGAATGTGTTATAAGTTAGATTGTGGTAAGGTCGAGGGATATGTGGTAAGGTCGAGGGATATGAAGGTTGAATGTGTTATAAGATAGATTGTGGTAAGGTCGAGGGATATGAGGTAGAATGTGTTATAAGATAGATTGTGGTAAGGTCGAGGGATATGAAGGTAGAATGTGTTATAAGATGGATTGTGGTAAGGTCGAGGGATATGAGGGTAGAATGTGTTATAAGATAGATTGTGGTAAGGTCGAGGGATATGAAGGTAGAATGTGTTATAAGATAGATTGTGGTAAGGTCGAGGGATATGAAGGTAGAATGTGTGATAAGATAGATTGTGGTAAGGTCGAGGGATAGGAAGGTAGAATGTGTTATAAGATAGATTGTGGTAAGGTCGTGGATATGAGGTAGATATGATAGAATATGATAGAATGTGTTATAAGATAGATTGTGGTAAGGTCGAGGGATATGAAGGTAGAATGTGTTATAAGATAGATTGTGGTAAGGTCGAGGGATATGAGGGTAGAATGTGTTATAAGATAGATTGTGGTAAGGTCGAGGGATATGAAGGTAGAATGTGTTATAATATAGATTGTGGTAAGGTCGAGGGATATGAAGGTAGAATGTGTTATAAGATAGATTGTGGTAAGGTCGAGGGATATGAAGGTAGAATGTGTTATAAGATAGATTGTGGTAAGGTCGAGGGATATGAAGGTAGAATGTGTTATAAGATAGATTGTGCTAAGGTGTATGAAATGTGTTATAAGATAGATTGTGCTAAGGTCGAGGGATATGAAGGTAGAATGTGTTATAAGATAGATTGTGCTAAGGTCGAGGGATATGAAGGTAGAATGTGTTATAAGATAGATTGTGCTAAGGTCGAGGGATATGAAGGTAGAATGTGTTATAAGATAGATTGTGCTAAGGTGTGTTGTGTTATAAGATAGATTGTGGTAAGGTCGAGGGATACGAAGGTAGAATGTGTTATAAGATTGATTGTGGTAAGGTCGAGGGATATGAAGGTAGAATGTGTTATAAGATAGATTGTGCTAAGGTCGAGGGATATGAAGGTAGAATGTGTTATAAGATAGATTGTGCTAAGGTCGAGGGATATGAAGGTAGAATGTCTGATAAGATAGATAAACTTACAAGAAGTTTTTTTCAACTTATATCAATCTCTCTTGTTGGCCTGGATGAAAGGACGCGTGTAGTCCTACTGTGAGAGGAAATTTGAGTGGAAGCGGAAACCCAAAATACTTGGGTAGGTGACCCTGTACCTTCACACGTCCGTGTTGACAATCAAACCCCGGGTGTCTGGGTGAAAGGCAAGTGCGTTGGTGTGAGGAATGTTGGCTGTATATCGTAATGTGAAATGTGTTAATGAGGGGTCTGGGCTGAAAAATAAGGAAGAATGTGGTAAAGAGGGATCTGGGCTGTATGGTAAGATAGAGTGTGATAAGAGGGATCTGGGCTGTATGTAAGGATAGAGTGTGGTACGAGAGATCTGGGCTGTATGTTAAGATAGAGTGTGTAAGAGGGATCTGGGCTGTATGTTAAAAACATAGTTTGGTAAGAGAGATCAGGGCTGTATGTTCAGATAGTGTGTGGTAAGGGGGATCTGGACTGTATGTTAAAATAGAGTGTGGTAAGAGGGATCTGGACTGTATGTTAAGATAGAGTGTGGTAAGAGGGATCTGGGCTGTATGTTAAGATAGAGCGTGGTAAGAGGGATCTGGACTGATATTAAGATAGTGTGTGGTAAGAGGGATCTGGGCTGTATGTAAGGATAGAGTGTGGTAAGAGAGATCTGGGCTGTATGTTAAGATAGAGTGTGGTATGAGGGATCTAGGCTGTATGTTAAGATAGAGCATGGTAAGAGAGATCTGGGCTGTATGTTAAGATAGAGTGTGGTAAGAGAGATCTGGTCTGTATGTTAAGATAGAGCGTGGTAAGAGAGATCTGGGCTGTATGTTAAGATAGAGCGTGGTAAGAGAGATCTGGGCTGTATGTTAAGATAGAGTGTGGTAAGAGGGATCAGGGCTTTAAAACTCGGCCATTATAAGTATTTTGTCTGAATACAGCATATTACAGAAATAATTGACAATTTGGTACAAATAAACGTGATCACGATTCATCAACAAAAATTTGCGGAAAACCAATAGTTATTAATGTTTTATTCCTTTATAATACATCCGTACCTACATTTATTGCACACTAATTAGAAAATACATAATTTCCATCCAATTAGAACTCATTTACCTTCTTAATGTTATGATATTGATTATTCACTGAAATTTCTCAGAAACGAGTCTGGTGATTGTTTCCCTGGAAACACTCCAATATGTTTTCATACAATAAGATGACGGGAAAACACAATTGTAATATAATTGACTGTGTCCTCATAT